GCGACAACATTTTTTTCTATGGTTATCACGATGGCACTTTTTTTCTCGCCAGAACGATAATTGGTTGATGGCTAATATGAAACTTCAAATTGATAAGCCAAATTAATTTATGCTTTTCCATACAGAATCGGCTGAGGCTTTTTCTTTCAATTTCTATGGATGGGAGTATTCTGAATGATTCTGAATCCTTCTGCGACAACAGCAATACTAGTCTTGGGTATTACTGTTCAACACTTTGTAATTGATGAAAAGTTACCCCAATCATTTTTGGTGACTGCCTGGTACGTAGATATTTATTTTTACTGCAAGAACATTAGTTACGTATTTCCCATGTGTTCTTGTGCAGAAACCTCGTAGTGATTAAGTTAAGTAAGCTCTAGAATATCACCTGACAAATTGAATTTCAACTTCATCTTGTAATCACGTAATAAAAGCCTAGACAAAAACTTGAAAGCATATCTCCATCATGTCCATATTCTGAAACCTACAGAATGACACCTTTAATTTTCAGACTCGTCTCGACCTCTTGGATCTTCAACAATCTTTTTTCAAACGAATTTTTATGTTTTCTTCACCCCAGATAAAGAAACTACGATGCGAAGAGGCTAAAAGTGTTCAAATGAAATTTATCCGGATTCATGGTATCTTATCTCTTCTCATCTCTGAATGGAATTATTCGTAATTAGTAATATGTCATAAGATTTGACCCTAAATGTTACTATTAAAATATCACGCTTGAGTGGAAGAGCTAATGAAGAAAAGAGGAAAACATAGATGGAAAAGTTACAATCCGCACAGATTTTGAATGAAAAATATAATGCTAAATGTGGAGTTTCCAGATTTTATGTAGCTCGATCAGAACTCAGTGAGATGGTCAATGATTGATTTCGCTGATATCCACTATGATGATTGGTTTACAATACAAGAAATCATTTGTTATGTAGGATGATCATTTTTAATTCGACTTTGAAGGGTTTTACACATCAGTCAGAAAACGATTTAGTGTTTTTATCACAGCATATTGACTTGATGTTTACAATTATCATTGATGGGAACGAACGAAGGAAAATGGGGAATATCAGTTCCATGTATGGAATATAAGTACAACTTGGTATTTGGTGGGAATTATTATAATGCCATTCAATTCCAGTATACAATATAGAATCAGAGAAAGTTTCCAGAGATTTCTTTGTCTAGATTAGAAAAGATGATATTTCATTCCATGTAAAGTGCGAAGTAGGTATACACACTTGAGAACTACTAGAATTTTTTGGTTAAACATTATACTTGAGGATGTTATACATGTAGAAAACTAGGTTTCATATTGATATCCAGTCAGGATTTTCAGTATCGAAGTTGCAATACTGTTGTATTTTATATGTAATCCTGAGACAAGAAATTCCTGAGGTCGATGCATTTCAAAAAATAAGGTGTTTATCCAATGTGTGTGATTGATTTCAACATAGAGACTTTGAGTAAATGGCATGAGGAAATTCAGGTCTTGTTTATTTCTCATATCTTACATAAATTGATCAATGCACCTGACATATTGATGGATATTCAGTTCAATTTACCTGATATAAGACTTAGATTCGAAAGAACTGGAGTCCGTGGTACCAGACTCGATCGAATTCCTTGGAGATATCGAGTGCTAAGGCTAAGGTTTCACCATATTTTTCAATAGATTGCTGCCATTTAAAGATCATCCCGGAAACCATCGAAATACCAATATATGTTGACCCAATCAGTTCAGTCGTTTAGTTAGGTATGTTCAAAAGTATGGAAGGATAATACTCACTACACGTTGCCCCATAACCAATTTTCTCGTAGGCATGTAGCATTTTTCTGCTGTTGAAAGTAGCCTATGTTCATCAGGGATAATGTCTGCTTTCAATGGTAAATGAAATTTACCCATCGGTTCAGTAGTTTCAGATCCTATTCTAAACAAACAAACAAACAAACAATCAATCAAATCTCTCCTTTTTATAATATCAGCACAGATAGTATATGTTTGTAATCAGTATAAATGAAATAAAAATTAAATAATAACATTTCTAGTTGATCAGGTTTCAAGCCATCGAAAAATAGACAGGATTTCTGGTGAAAAAGAGTATATTATAGTGTAATATTAAGTATGATGGTTTCAGGTTCTTTATATTTTCTTCAGGTACTTTTGAATCATGTGTTGAAGACGTTAGTACAGAGTTAACTTACTCGAAAACTCACAACACGATTTCCAATGAATCAAACCGGAAAACCCTTCGGCTCCGTTGCTAAAATGCAGATTTTCCGTCTGAAAATATGGCATCGTATTTCATGGCACGCTGGATAATGATCTGCGGCCCGTGATTTGGGCCATTCGGGGAGCGAGAGAGTTGCGCAAATCCATTTTTTTTTTAAACTCGGTGACCGACTGCATCCAACCAGGTGAATAAAACTCTGATAGCATTCCGATAGAGTGGCATAGTATATTCCAACTCATACTTCCAATGTTTGTGCCTAATGGCATGAGAATTCCTATTTTCGTTCTGATCTCGTTCCGCTGCGGTGTTGTTTTGTTTTTCACATCGCCATGTCGGTGAAGGTGAAAATGGATTGGCTGATGTAGGACCTGTACCTTTTTCCATTTTGTTTCAATTCTGAATGGAAATTGTGTATATTTATGGGCGATTGGTGGTTGTTAACTTTATCGATAACTGCAAGAGATGAATTACTACCAAACATAGCTGCTTTTCAATTGAAAATTTGTTACCCCTGGATGAGCCAATACTAACTAACCTACACTTGAACTGAACCAGGATGTTGTAATTGAAACATAATTTCTATACAAGTATTTTGAGTTACATTTCATTAACAGATTTGGCTCGGGATTTGAATTTGAATTTCTGATGTAGTTTTTTCATTATGGAGAAACTTGTGAATTATATGATTTAAGTAGGTATAATGTCGCATCTCGCACATTAAATACTGAATAATTCACAGGAAATGATGCTGAAGAAAATTTCAAGACTATAGTGTTGGTAGTGAAAATTCTGATGATGAGGCTGACGTGGATATCACGATGAAAAGCAAATGGATTCGAATCAAAAATATTATAGAATATCCTGTATTGTTGTTGTGCTTTAAGCTTCAAGGTAGTCTTCCTCTGATCCTCCTGGTCCAAATATATTCGATATACTTCACTCCGTTCTCAGGATCATCTAGGTATCTCTCAGAGATACATTCCATTATTTGTTTCGTATTTGATAAGGTTAAACAGATACACCAGTTATTAGTGATGAAGAGAAGGTCGTTAATCCAATTGCTGTCTAATAAATAATTCTATAGTTCTCAACAAAGACAAAAACAATCATTTCAAAAGACAAACATACATCTGACGCGTCTGACAGACACTTTTTTGCTTCAACATATACCTGACTATTTTTTAGTTAATTACCCTACTGTAATAGCTGATGCTCGGGGGGAAAGTGGTTGGTAGCATTGATCAATTGGAGTGCTCCAAGCTCTTTCTAATTGTTGATCAGTTCAAGATCTGCTCGGAGTTACTTGGTGCAACTCGCTGTGGCAATTGAAAAGTGGCTCTGATGATACAAGATAAACAGATATATATTAATATCAGATATGGTTCACGATTTCACTCATTTTTTCAAAATAATGGCTCTGGTCTCAGTGACTGAGCTTGAACCCGCTCGGAGAAAGGCCCGCATCGAAGCTGCAGAAGTGAGGAAGCTCCTGCAGCTTCACATGGATTAGCCCATGCATTCGGTCTACTTCAAGACCATTGAAGACCGGGGCTTATCGAAAGAATTGACTTCTGCTTTCCCCAAGTCAGGCGGGCTTAAATTGCAAACAGAGGTATTCATCATGGTATGCCAGGGTGAGGTTTTCAACACTCTCGTCTACCGTAGCCGTGTAATGGGTATGGAGGTCCCTGACACAAATTGCAGGGCGCCCGAGACAATTATGCACCTGCTGTCCTCTTGCACGGTGTATGCAGTCTCGGCCTATATCCATAGGCACAATGCGGCATTGCGAGTGCTTTACTACCATTTGAAGCACTCGTACGGAATAGACGAGACCCCAGTGCTGCCCTATGCTCCGGGGTAGAGAATGAGAGGTGCTGAATTTGTTGGAACTTCTCATTCTCCACCCTCAGGCAAATACAAGCTCACGAGCCTGATGTAGTCCTCCTCGACCATCAAACCATAGCGATGTTCGTAATCTAGTTTTTGGCGCTAGCCAAATCAAACATCGTTTCGAAGGAGGAGTAGAAATGGACTAAATACCTATAGATCTTCTTTTCAAAGGCTCTATTCAGACCATTCTCTGGAAATTGGTCATCCTGATAATCGGCTCCCTAGGAGGCAGACGACATACGCTGCTCTCGGAAATCCAGAAAACCCAGTGTGTATTGATAAGACACACATTCTGGCTGGTGGAATGCAGAAGGCCGCCATATACTTGGATCATTGCGTTTACTCAGGGCACACGGTTCTTGGTCCCAGTGATTATTCACCTCACAGGCTATGGGGAGTAGTCACTGGAGTTTATGCAGCACGACTCTGCGTGGCATCGGAGGCCACAGGGTCGTGACTCGAATAACATGAATTCAAATAATAATAATATTAATAATGTTTATTCATTTCAACATGAGTTCAGTGATACAAGAATGTACAAGACATCAATTAGTCATTTTGAATAAACATCAACAGACATCCACTGAAGTATATACATTCTTGTATGTGGTGAAACAGTATAATAACAAAATATTGTACGAAACATAATTATACCTATATGTATATCGACGTGTTTCGTTATTTATTTTTGTAATATCATTTTTCTGCGAGTTATCGAGTCCTGAATGGACCACCCCGTATATGAACATAACATATAAGCATACTCTGCCAATGCAAGCACAGTATGAAGATGATTTTTCTAGGCATGTTATGAAATCTCCATATCAGACATTTCGTTTATGAAACTCCTTCTTTTTTTTTCAGGAGAGGTGGAAAGACTGCTTCGCGAATACACTCAGAACCAGGAGATGGTACGGAACATCGGCTCCCATTACTATCAAATCATCTATCCAGTTCAGTTGAGGCAGCACAAGAAAATGGGCATTTCCACCAGAGAGATAGGGTCTTCTAAGGTACGCAATGCCAGAAGTACGGTATGTCATCCAACACATCTTCATCTTTCATTGTCACAAGCATCCAAGAGCGAATATAGCAAAAAATGATAACCTTGAACCACAATTCAATAAGCTCATGATAGCTGTTGAATGAGTATTTGGCGATTCATTCCGATTGGCTGACTCAATTTTATTATCATTAACGCCTTCAGGGAAGTCATGGAAAAATTTTGCTCATAAAGTCTACTACAAAAGTGATATATGGTTCTATCAGAATACAATATCTCATTATCTGGTAAACAGCTCGTTTATTCACTGCGAGTCCTTCAGTAGAATTATTCTTCACTACCAAGATGAATAATGAATTGTTCTCACTGCTATCAATATATTTCAATCCCTATAGTTCTTTGAATCTGAAATATGGACTTATTGTCACTATGAAAGTACTTTATCGCATTTTCCATCGAAATCATATCACAACTAGTTGTTGATGAATACCTATTGAATTTTACTGTCATTCCTGCAAATCTCGCATCAGAACAATGAATTTGGATCAATTTCAACAGAGGTGAATATGTCTCAATTGACTAGTAGTCCATGGAACAAAAGAAAATAATGGTGGGTTCCATAACTAGTGGTGAGAAAAGAACGTCTTTATAGTTCTTAGCTCTCTGAACAGGAAATTACAATGAGGAATTAATTTTTTGCTATATCTCCTTTCATTTCGTAGTCTCAATCATCAGGTATTATTGGAAATGTATGCCTTGGATTCACTCCTTTCAACCTCTTTTTAATACTATATGCTAGTTTGAGAAAAGATTCATTTTTCAGAATATTCCTGTAGAGTGCCAATAATACTTTGTGTTGATCGAGAATACTTGGTTTAGTGTCAGATCTTCTGATTATTGACTGTATTGGTGTAGCATCTTCAAGCATCCAAGAAAACTTGATAAACGATTAGAATTTCACGAACAATCACATCAGTAATTAAAATATGGTTATATTTCAGAGTGAACTAATCTATTCACAATGAGCTCAAAAACATTATCACACAGAAAAGTGATTGTGATCTGGAATAATTGTTTGACTCTTGGAACAATTATCTTTCAGAATTCAGCCGCCTGCCAAGCATACAACTGATTATTATGTAGGTATTTTCAGGTACATGAATGGTCTTTTGTGTTATAGGTACCTAGTAATAATGTAAATGTCTTTGATGGCGAATTCCTTTGGCTACATCGTTGCATTTCACTGATGAATTCAGTTTATCTAAAGGTTCGAAACCTCTTTGAAGTCGTCGATAATATAATTAGGGTCTCAAAGAAACTGTTTCCTCGAAATTTCCTTCCGGAACAAGGAATTCATCATATTTATGCCTTGTGAGAAGGAAATTCTAAATTCATTTCCATTCGTAGACGTTCACCAAACATCAAAGAATGCGAATCGAACGTAATCCTCGAAAATTCTTTCTAAATTTGGATGAAAAAAATGCACCACTGGAACACCGTTTCTACATTTGTCCTCTGCGTCACGAGGGATTCGAACTGATGGAATATTTACTCGAGTATGGCGAATCAGGTTTTGCCTCTCCGATTTTCCATTTTCAGCTATTTGCACTGCACTCGTGCAGTTTATCTGATCAAAGTGTGACAAACATGGAACTCGATTCTCCCCAGCTAACTCCATGTATTTAGCTACGACACACACCAAGCAAATTTACTAATTCAATTAGGTGTATCACTCGTATAGTGTTATCAGTAGTAATACTATAAGTACTTCAAAATATTTGGGTTATACATCGATAACTTATTGCATAGTTACAAGAGTACAAGTTTTACAGTTTAAATATTCTGTTGAACTGGCACGATTTGTAATTATGCAGGAAATTTGAGATGTATAACCTCGAAGATTTTGAAGTTCGAATTGTATTCGATGCGATTATTTTTCGAGTATAGTTCTGAACGATCGACACAATTTATTAATTCAAGTACATATTTGTGCAGTGAGAATTACAATCATTATAAACAGCATTTTTGTTATTCGTGTAATTTTCAGCGCTAGAAACGTCCACGTGGCTATTAATGGTTGCTGAAGTGCTGGACATTTCGACGTTACTACTGGATCCAGAAGTGTGCCTCTGCTTAGTTCTCATCTGATTTATTATATTTTCGTGGTGCTGCAATTGCAGATACGGTTTCATAGCATTACTACTACCATGACCTGTAATTTTCATCAGATCTTGCTCCGATACTCCTGCTTTTGCCAATTGTGAAACGTCAGTAGCTGGATGAGAATGATTCGAATTTTTTTTCATTCGTGATGTCTAAACCGGCTCCTTCTGCTGATTTTTTTATCCATTTGCTAATTTCGTGTACTCCAATTGGCATATATTTGTAACAGCCAAGGGATTTCTGATTCTTTCAGTTTGGATTTACTGTCAAAAATAACCTGTCTGTTTTGATATTCTTGTTTCCCATCCGTTTCAATACCAACTCATTCAGAAGTCTCACTGGGCAAAGATTCACATCAGTTTGATTAGGTACAAGCCACTTATTATTAGCACAAGCTTTCACTCCACCCTGTGTTGTTTTTGTGAAAATAGGGTTATATTGCATCAATTGGAGAACCATCATTTCCATTTTCTTTTTGTTGGAAATAGTGAATCAAGCATGATGCTCTTTCATTTCCTCTCCATGCAAGTTCTACAGACGCAATCAAGAAAAACTTCATCTGTAACCCTTGTAGTTTTTAACTATTCAATTTTTTTTTTTGACAAATCAACATAGCAACGTATGTATTTAAGTTGAAATTGTTTTCTCTCGGGTACCCATCAGCGAATTGAATCGGATTTTTTTTGACGTTTCATTAATGACAGAACAGTATTATTGTGAAACGAGCACAGAATAATAATGATTTCCTACGAGAATGCAGTTTGTGGTGAAACGAAGGAATATCACTTGAAACTGATAGAATTGTGGTCGTAAAATCATCTAATTGAATTCAAGGTTGCTGTCACGTCCACTGACAATCGATATCTTCGATAATCTCCTGCTTTCAGCTCAAATAGAGTTAAACTAGATGATTTCATGACAAGAATTTCTATTAATCTCAAATTCAATCTTTTGGTTCACCTAATATCACTCTATGGAATGTATAGAAATTATATATTTTTGAAATCAGCACAAATCGCTATTACATCATCATACACCATTCGAAAGAGAACAACATCTGATTCAAGATTTTGTTTCGAAGTAACCAATATTTTATTTAGTTTTCGAGATATAGAGTGATGAAAGTGTGAATTCCATATTCAATCACCCTGTATAGCCCTATTTTCAATCAATATTTAATGTACATATTCTAGAGGATCCCATACTCTATTTCCATCTGTCAGTTTCAATACATTTTTGATATATCACTCTCATTCATGATCAATGACGAAAGAAGCTACTACGAAATAACCTGTTATCATCCCCCATATTTCATATCAAAATATCGCAATTTTCCTTGGAAGAAGGCAGCCGAATATTCAATATGGTCTGGTCGTTTTGATAGGGTTCGTGTGCCAAAAACAAAAGAGGAGCGCGAAACAATGGAGTGGCAATGCGTGATGCTTTTGTCAACGTCAAGAATCTCTCTAGTTATAGATTGTGTGTTCTTCATATTATATCCTAACGTATTGTTTCAGTAGGCTTTGTTTATGAACGCTATAGAATGGGAGCTATACTTTCCCCAGGTTTTTGGAGGTGGCTTCTCCCTGATCCTCGAATAATGAATACAAGATTATTCCATAATTACCCAAGTAGCGCACATATATTGGAACAATATTGGTGCAATAAATATTACGATAATATCGGCAATATATTATGAAAGTAAAATAGGTGAGGAATAAATATGAACATTAGGTGATATTGGTAGAATATGAGTCTCCAAATGTGGGTGGAATAGTGAAAATAAGCATGTTGTGATGTAGTCTCTAAAACATTGGTGACATATTTTCATATCAATATTGATTAAAGATCAGTGGATTTATATTGCTAACGAGATGTGATGTAAATATTGGTGAACAATGAATAGAAAATTTAAAGTAATATTAGTGCGATAACAGTTGGAAATATCGGTGGATCATTGCAGCTATGTTGTCTTGGAAATATTGGTAAAATATAATCTATATAATGAACTAAAGAATTATTTGGAATAGAAACTTCACTCAATGTGTTTGGAATAAATATTTGATAAACTCACCTGGACATTTTTTTAGTACCGAAATTCCATCAACTATCAGAACTGTCAAAAACGATATATACTCATACAAGAAACACTGTTGGAAGAACTATGAACTCAGAGAAATTATATTATATCAATTTGGAATAGTTTCGTCAAAAAGAGGGTATTCCATATCACTTGATATTATCCATGATCTTCGAATTCACTCTACATATCTCTATGGTAACTATTTTTATCATTAGTCAATCCAATTCGATTTTACTTCAAATGTATTATATTCAAGACTTCACATTCTCATATAATTCTTATATGAAGTAGTTTGAACGTCTATTGGAAACAATTCTTGCGTTATAGAATGATAAGTGAGAAAATAATATTGTTATAATTGAATAATCATTTCACTTGATTCTTTGAAATTTTCTCTCCTCGTTTCTATGAAATGAGAGTATTCGTATTATTTCAATATATTTGTAGAGGGACAAATCAGATGATTTGCCCCAAAATGTCACTGCGTTTAACAAATTTTTCTATCAGGTAGTCTAAAAGAAAAATCCAGTAGCTTGTCAGTTCAATTTGTTTGAAAAACTCTTTGGAGGAAAGGAATATAGATATATTGAAAACATATCGAATTTTAACTTATCTCTAGAAAGTTTGAAAGTTGTGCTGCTTATAGTTTAACACTTTTCAGTGTCATACTGATGTTGGCATATAAATGAGTGACTTTAGTCTAATGAGTTACAGGATGTTTCCATTGATTGATCTTGAATCTATCATTTTCATGTTCAGCTTTCAGTAGTGAATACCATGTTCTA